CGGTTCAGAAACAGCTTGAGGATCTCCCTGGGCACCATCCATGGGCTACAGTTACATTCAAAGTTCTGCCCCAGCGCTCCGGGCAGCTGCAGTCCTGGCTCCGAGCGTGCTGCGCCCAGCACGATCAGAGCTGTGTTCTGTCCCCAGGTGGCCAAGGATGTCTCCGTGCGGCTCCACAATGAGCTGGAGGCGGTGGAGAAGAAGAGGATCAAGCTGGAGGAGGAGAACGAAGACCTGCGCCAGAGGCTCATCGAGACGGAGCTGGCCAAGCAAGTGGTGCAGAACGAGATGGACAAGCTCCGGGAGGTGAGGGACACACGGGGAGCGGGGACAGGTCCCTGGGGCGAGGATGGTGGCACGGGGGGAGCGCGGGGCGGCGCGCGGGCGCGTGCCGAGCGGTGCCGCCCGATGCCCAGCTGTTAGCGCCGTGTGGGACAGGCCAGCGCGGCTCTGCCCCGGGCGGCCCCGCGCGGCCCCGGCCCCGCTCGCTTTGCTGAAACCCAAGCTGCCCGGCCGGGGCGCAGCTGAAACCCGAGCGGCGCCCCGCTCGCTGCTCTGCTCCGAGGGAGGCCCATGAGCGGGGACGCAGCGTCTCCGATTGCAGCAGCACTCCGCACGGCCTCTCTTAGCGCATCCCCAGCAAAAATGGCTCTTCCTAAGCCTGGCAGCCCAGTGAATCGCCTGCGGTGGAGGCTGTTCCCTTGCCTGGCACAGTGCCCAGTGCTGCCCGTGTTTTGCCTGTCCGTGCGAGGCAAGGGGCAGGCTGGGCTGCTCGTGTGCTGCAGTCTCAGGTTGTTCAGCCTGGCTGTCCGCTGTTCCGTCCTTGGTGGCGGAAAGGCATCCTGGTGACAGCGAATCCGTCACGGCGCTCGTAACCCACTTCCCTAGTGCCCCGATGCCGCGTCCCCGGGAGCCTCCAGGCGCGCCGCTGGCTGAGCTGCTGTGACAGCGCTGGAGGAGATGCTGCGGCCGGGCCCCACGTGGGCAAGGGAGCAGGATCCTGCCCGTCCGCCTTCCCTGCGGCACCGCCGGGGACACACTGCCTGCGCCGGGCCCGGCAGCAGGCCGGGATGCGGCTTGGGATGGCTGGGGCTGCTTGTGCCCTTGGGGGGTTTGCACCCTGCGTCTCAGAGGCGGAGAAAGTGGGATCTGTGCGCGGGGTACCCGAGAGGCACCGGTGTCTTGCCCTGGCCAAAAGCCACTCTTGCCTGCCCTCCTCGTGCATCTTGACACGAGGTGCTGGGGTGTGCAGGGCAGTATCGTTGTGCACGGTAGTAAGGGAGACAAGTCCAAACGAGTGATCGTGGATGCCTGGTGGTGCCTGCCCGAGGCTCCCAGCTGCAGCGCAGAGCAGATTCGCGTGGGGAGCAGCTGGGCTGTTTGCACTGGCTTTTAGAGCACAGCACGGGAGACGTGTCCTCCCCACAACACGCGAGGCCAGAGGGGTTGCAGCAAACTGGCATGGGACCTGCTTGGAGCAAAGTCTAGTGCCCCAAGGAGCGATGAGCTGGGCCCTCTAGGGCTGACCCAGCTCCCCCACTTTGCGCCAGGAGAAGAGCGCTCCAGCTCTTGGAAGGAGCCCAAGCTCCATGGACCAGGTGCTGCTGGCAAGGAGCCCGCGTGGGTGAAGCAGAGCCCTGCAGCAGCACAGCCCCAGCGAGCCGGGCACTGGGTTACTCCCTTATTCTGGGGCACTAATTAGACAAACGAGCGACTTAGCGGCCTGCGGGCAGCTCCTTTCTTCTGGCTGTAGGGAGCCGAGCAGCAGCAGAGCTTGTTAGCAAAGCAAACAGGAACCTGATGCTGCTGGGGCAGGGCTGGTCTTACCCCTGAGGGCAGATTATTCTCCCTCACAAGTGGCTTTTCCCATAATTGGATAATCGTAGGGATGGGTGGTTAATCACTGGGTATTTGCGCCGCTGGTAGCAGTGGGATCCTTCCCAACGGGCGTCTCCCCAGAGCCTGGGGAGGCAGCACAAAGTGGGATGGGGCCAGGCACCCAGGTGCCAGTCGGGTGCATGGAGCTGCCCAGGAGGAATCCAGGGCCTGGGCACAGCCCCAGCAGTGAAGGACACCCAACCCAGGGCCCTGCTTTTGGGGTGCTCAGGGCCAGGCCGTGCGCTCTGCTCCCCAGCGAGAGGGCCAGGGATGCCCGTGAGGCACAGCCTGCCCTGGGGAGAGTGTCTGCAGCAGCAGCAGCAGCAGCTCAGCGATGGTCTTGGCCTTAATAGGAAAGCCTGGATCTCGGTCCCTTGGCACAGGCAGCGCTTTGCATTTCACAGCTGCTTTCTTTGGCTGCTGCGCCAGCTTGGAAGGAGGTGGAGGGCGGCCGCGCTGGTGTCCAAGGGGCCCGGCACTGCCCTTGGCGGGTGCAGGATGGTGCTGGGCTCCTGGTTCCTCCCCTGGATACTCTGGCTCCCATCTCCAGAGCCACAGTATCCACACTGGTCTCCCTGTGTCCACAGCCTCCGGAGCTCTGATGAGGAGACACAGAGATGATTGCCCCGAGCGCGGCTGGTCTCCAGGCTCACTGGTGCCCCGTGCTCCACGGATTTGCAGCCTGCACAGAGATCCCACAGTGTCAAATGCCTTTGGAGCGGTGCTGCTTGCCGGGAATTACGAGGCAGAGCTCCGCGGGGCAGGATCTGGGAGGGCCCCTGCTCCTGGGATCGCTCGCGCCTCGTGCGAGCTCCACAGCAGTGACTCATCCCTGCCTGGAGCCGAGGTGACACAGCCATGAATTGGGTGTCTGGGTGCTTCAGAGGCTGTGGGCTTGAGGAGTGGCAGCGCCAGAATCGCTGGCTCCAGGCCTCGGCTCGGCACATGTAGAACAGGCTGTCAGCTCTCAGGTTGCCTTACCCAGCCCTGCTGCCCTGTGCGTTGTTTGCAGAGGGCCTTCCTGGGGCCTTTGTGGTCCCCGTGGAAGGAGGAGGTGATGAGGGACATCTTCATCACCTGAGGTGCCCCTAGAGCTGTCACTCGGCCTGGGAACTGGATGTCCTGCTCCATCCATCCTGACAGAGCGCCCTGTGACTCAGTCTTGCCGGGTCTCATTTCCTGTTCTCGGTGGCTGCGTGGTGCTCGATGCCTGCAAGGAGAATTTCTGGCTAAACTGCACAGTGTAAAGCTTGGCAGTCCTGCTCCTCCAAAGCCAGGGGCCGCGGTCTGCTGGGGCCACAGCTCTGGCATGTTCTTGGGTTTTGCAAGCTCCTGGAGAGCCTGGACTCGCTTTCCTAGGCTGTCCCTGAAGGACGTTGCAAAGCGGGGGCCCTGTGTGCATCAAGCTTCTCCTGCTGCCTGGGTGTTCACTGTGGGTAATGTCTCTCTCTTCCCTCTGCAGAATTCCTTGAAGAAAAGAGGCTCTCGTTCCGTCGGGAAGACCGAGAAGAAGCCGTCGGTGCAGGTATGGGTGCTGCGCTGCCGGGGCGCACGGTGTTGGCGGCCACAGCCGGGAGGCCGAGTGTGACCTGGGGGCCGCTGGGGGCTGTGCCTGGCACAGAGGCCGATCCCGGGCACGGCGGTGACATCCCCTCGCTTGCAGGGCTTTCCTGCCTTTCACAGGCGCCTGCACAGCGGAGGAATTGATGCGCTGGGCATCTCTGTCGTCCTCAACCACCCTCTTGTCTCCTCTATCAATGGGGCATCAGTGGCTGAGCCAGCAGCCTTAACTCTTTGCTTTTGTCACCACCCAATACTGCAGCAGTGAGTTGAAGGACTTGGCTTTCACAGTGCAGAGTTGCTCCTGGCCTGGTTCGGGGCTCTTGCAAGCTCCATCTCTCCTGTCTGTGCTGGCAGTGATGCTCAAGGGACCACGTGAGAGCCACTGAGGGGTGCAGGTGTCACCGTTTTCTGTCCCGGCCATGCTACAGGCTGCTGGACAGTGCAGGACATAGGGTATTTGTCAACTGCGGGAAGGATTTCATCTGTCACTTGCTGTTGAGATGAGCGGTCATGACTTGCTAATTCTATTACTGGGAGTTGAAGGGGCAGAGCTGCTGTTTTGGTAATAGATGTGGAAGTGCCTTATTGGTCTTGAAATCCACTTCCAAAGGCAAAAGGTAGGAAAGATCTACTTCCAAGGTGGGAAAAGGAAGCTTTCCTTCTTGTCTGGATATGGGACTCTCATACCCTCTGTGTGGGGCTCTGGCTGGACGAGCCAAGCCTGGTGTCTATGGGCTACTCCTAGCGATGCCAAGACCTCATTGCCTGGGGTGCCAGGTGAAGATACGCTGGTCCTTGGCCTCGGGAAGCTGCAGCGAGGCGCAGCTGGTGTCACGACTGTGTCACAACCCCGGCTCGCGGTGACCAGCGCAGTCGGTGGGGCTGGATGTGCCGCTCCTGGAGCCCGCCCAGAGGCTGAAATAGCCCCCAGCCTCTGCCTCTCCTGCTGAGGAGCCAGAAAGGGAAGGAAACCGAGCGCAGCCCTGGGTTGCAGTCACACAACCCTCTGCTTCTCTTCGCAGGCAGCCTGCGCACACGGGGCAGGACGTGGCCCGAGGCCGCGGTGGGTCCTGCCCTCCAAGGAGGGGCAGGAAGGAGCTGGCCCAGCCTCAGAGCTGTGGGTAGTGCTGGAAGGAAAACCTCAAGCTTCCTGGGGCTGCAGGGAGCACTCGTTTTACTGCAGAAACTGCCCTTTTCCGCTGGTATCTGCTGGGCTCTTCTCCCCGTGCTCTTGCAATGCTCGTCTCTGACCTGGGGCTGAGTATGAATAACCCCAAGAGCCCAGTGGTGGTTGGGGCTCCTGAGACATAGATATGACATCAATGCCCCAGGCTGTGGCTTTCTGCCATGGGGCTGAGCTGGCCCTGCCGGCGCCTCCCGCCGAGTGCGGCCCCTCGTGACTCATGGTGGCTTCCTGGGCCGCTTCCTGCTCCGCCGCCACTAAAACGCATGGTGACGGGACAGACCCCAAGCCGAGGTCTCTGCTCTCTCCCCCGGACCCCAGGAGAGCTCCCTATGGATTTGGTCCCAGCCTGGGTGCTCTGCAGCCCCATGCTCCTGCCATGCACTCCCAGCATCAAGGTTCCAGGGCGAAAATCCAGCCAGCAGCCTTTTTCCTGGGAAAACAGGAACTGAGGTCACGTCTGCCCCGGGCAGCCAGCACGGAGCTGGCCCTGGCCCTCGTTAATCTCCGTAGCCAATTAGGAAGGGCGCACTTCTGAGGCAGAATATAGCTTTAATGCGCCTTAGCAAGGTTGCATCTCCGCAAGCGCGGCGCGTGTCTTGGGGGAGCCCCGTTCCCAAAGGGGCACGGGAGAGGGGGCAGCTGCTCCCACCGTCTTCTGCTCCCGTAGTGCTGGCTCCACGCTTTGGAAAAAGGGTCGGCACCCCAAACCCATGGACGTGCTGTGGAAAACACAGCGCTCGCTTGGGTCTCTGTGTGAAAACAGGACCTGGATTGTGTTCCCGCAGATCCAGGCGTGACACACGGCTGCAGCGGAGGCTCCGGGAGCTGCGTTTGCTCTGGTGCTGACCCCAGGAGCGGGCTGGAGGGGGCCTGGCCCCCCTTGCTGTGCTCCTTACTGTGTCCCAGGAGCCACCAGCAGGAAAGGGGCAGCAGGCTGGAGCGCGTCCCGCGGGCTCCTCACGCGAGAAGCCGCTGACCCCACCGGCT